AATTAAAATATAATTATAAAAAAATTGCAATTTTTTTCTTAACACACTGTAGATATATAATAATTTTATCTCATAATTTTTTTCTAATTATTCTATTATTTATTTATTTTTATATAAATAATAATAAAGTTTTTTTGCTTTTTAAAAGTTAAAACTTAATAATAATTATTTTTTCATTTTCTATACTTGACAAGTTTTTAAAAATATTAATTAAAAAATTTTAATAAATATTAATATTTAATTTTTAATATATTTTGTATTTAAAAAATATTGTTTTTTATAAATATATATTTTGTTAAGTATGAAATCAATAAAAAAATAATGTTTTCTTATTTTAAAGAAAAAAAAATCCCATTAATTTATTATATCTTAATAACAATATAAATTTTAAATTATTTTTTAATCAATATTGTAAAAAATATGTAAAAAATGAATATTACAAGAAAATATTTATAAATTTATTTATTTATTTAAATATTACTGTACTTTACAATTAATTTATCTCTAACATAACATATAATATTTTAATAATACTGCATGATATTTAATGAAAATCAAATATTTTTTACTTATTTTATTTTAATATACGTAGTATGGATACGTATAATTTAAAAACATAAATTATCTTAATTTATATAAGAAAAAAATATGTTACTTTGTTTATTTAAATATAATACAAATATATTTTTCTTATATATATACTGTGTATATATTATATTATATTATACCATATATTTTTTAATATATTGTGTAATGGTTTTTAGTCATCAATAACCAAATGATTTAATTAAACATATGGTTGGTACGCAGCAAAACCATGCTTTGAGACAAAATGCTTATTTGGAGATATCGACGATTATCAATTTAAATTTATACAGTATATCGAACCATATAAAATTAAAAAATTGCGCGCGAGATTGTACCAAATTATAATATATTAATATATATCCAAACTTTTATCACAGATAAAAAATGTTCTTAGGAGTAGTATAATCCACTAAAAATCTCAATTTTTGTTAAAACCTTTCAAAGCATGGTTTTGCTGTGTACCAACCCATATAACGTTAAAAAATTTTTATGTTTATCTTTTGCTGTAATAAAATTATTACGGAACAAATCATGTTGCATATAAATAACCTTAAGATTGCGCAAATATACTGTATGCACAACCAAATGAAAACAAACCATTATAGTTTGTGGGGCTTTAGTTTGACATTTAGTAACAGGTCGTTATCTGGAAGAGGTAAAAAACAGATAGCGGAATTTAACATGCTATACATAAAAAAATAAAATTTTGAAACTTTATCAATGATTTAGATGTAAATATTGATAAGATGTAAATAATTGATAAGATGTAAATATTGATAATAATAAAGTATGCCAGACAAAAGTTATGCTAGTTGTATATGGTCGTTTAAGCTTCTCATACAGCAACGCCAATCAAGATTTCTTACATAGCTTCGATTTCGCGTTTCAATGTGTTTTTTTGAACCAATAAATCCTATCCCGATTCATTTTTATATCCAATAATTTTATATAATAATACTGTAATTATTTTTTAAACACCATTTATACTTAGATAAGGTTATTAATATAATTGTGCACTTATCCTTAAATTACTTATAATTTGTTCGCACATGTGATCAGTCAATATTTTCTTGTTTTTTGACTAGTGCTACTACCTCAATGTCAGAGGAGATAGATCGATTGATTATCGATCTGAGACATGTAAACTTGACAAACAATATTATTTACAAATGACGTTCTTCCCACGCTTTCTTGTATGCATTGCGCAATGTTATGTAACTCATAGTCCACATCAGTAATCATAATATTATTTTCAGTTGCGTGACTCATGCATGACCTAGTAATGAAGATCGTATGATTGGTAATTAACTATTGAAATAAAAACTTTGATATGAAAATATGAACTTAATAGAAAAATCCAAACATTAATAAGCATTTCGATTGATTCTGGTAAACGTCGAATCACAAATATGTCATCTGAACCATAGATGGCGTATCAGTAATGATTTTAGTAGTACAAACAATCTGCTACTCAAAATCAAAAAATTTTCATGATCCTTTTTGTTTTTTTTCAGTTGAGTGGGCATTTATAGTGATTCGGTATTTACCATAAAATGTAAAAGTGTGATTTAATATTCATTTATATAGCAACTAATAATAGGTTTAAAAGGAAAATTTTTTTTCGATCAAAAAGATATATAAAATTGGTTGTTTCAAATAGATATGCTAAGTACTGTATTTCGACTGGAACTAGTCATGCTTAAATCATTTCCGGGTTTGTCCTAAACTAAAGTTTGGTTGGTTTGTGATAACATTATAAATTTTCTATGTACGTATGCTACATCCAACCAATTCTCAAGATTAGATTGCAAAATTCTCGAATACATTTGCTTTATAATATATTGGCATTTTTATTGGTTTTATAATTACTGTATTTGTAGTTAGATACGGTTTGTGTAGTTACTTAACCTGAAATTTAAAATGTTAGTATCGGAGGTCATCACGGTCATATCCACTTATAAAATACTGCCTTTTAAGTTACTGCTTAGGATTGGTGTAAACTTGACGTATTGTTTATTTATCCGGTCAAAGAATTGGGCCAATCAACAAACGCCTCAACCAATAAGGAATATATGATCTACGTACGATTAACATATTGTAGAAACAATTCACTTCAACAATTATAATACACTGTATGTAATTTATCATTGATATTGTACTGTATCAAGGGAGCTTTATATGAGCGAAATCAAATTAAATATGTCATTCAGAAAAAAACCTTATGCGATCCTTAAAGAAATATCTTTGGGTTCTATTAACAATTACAGCTGGTAAAACATATTTCATTGATACTTATTGTGTAAATAAAGGATAAGTATGTGAGCGCAATTCGTATGGTTTTGTAAGACTTTCTGCGAAAGATAAATCAAAAGTCGGGCAAATATTTACTTACCTAAGCAGTTAAGCGTTATACTCGGCATTGGCTACATTTGGGATGAACTCTAAAAGAAAGATTTCTCCTTCCATAGTCCTCGATGGCAATTGTGACAGGTCAAATAAAGCAATATAATTGCTACGCGATTCGTATGAGAAACTCAGCATTTTCTATGAATAATTATTTGAAAGGTACAAATGAATCATCGCGTTTATTTAAAAAAATATTATTGATAGTTACTCCGATATTTTCTTAAATCTTCTCCATACATATCTGTGAGCTAGTATAAACGCAATATCGTATCACATCACGTATTTAAAGTGTAGATAAAAGAGAAAGTCTATCATGTTCCCACAGTCATTTAAATAAAGTTTAAACTTTAAATAATAAACTCTCATGGTGTTACTTGAATTTCCAATAATATACTTATAACTTTGTTAGTGCGATTGATAGAGTTTGTGATTTCTAGCAGAAGAATATCGCATTTCTGAAAAAATTTGACAGAAAAAAAAAAGTTAAAAGTATCTAGAACCAGTCAAATCAAAATCGTCCCAAAGATAGAGATGGAGTTAATAAAGGAGTTTTTTTGTTTGTCGCATATAAAAATAATTGAAAAAAAAAAAAGGTAACCCAATATACCCTTTTATATAATACTATATGAGACAATCAAGCAAGCTCCTTTATTGACCCGGTTAGTCTCATCTCTACTCAAAGTGTTAGAGCATAAAGTACTTCAATATTACAAGATCTAGTATACAGTATAAATTTTGGGTCTTTCTTTATTATGTCAAACATTTGTTTAACGTGAACGGGATTATTAATCCGATTAGTCTTAATAATATTATTTACTTGATGACTAAACACAGTATTATGAATAATTTCTATTTTTGGTTCTTTAGAAGCCAAAACCTATAAAAGAATCCATATTAATAGAATTTATATTAAATTGTTTGAAGTTGCTGAAAGAGCTATTATAAAGGTTTATTTATAATGTCAATTATACATAAAAAAAGCATCAAATCCTTTTCGTGGTTCGGCCGAAAATGCACCATGAAAGGTCATCATATTAATGTTTATTCATCATGAATGTACGTATCAGCTTCTTAATAAATAGTACACGGTAAAATGCCGAAATCATGCTGTTTCTGTTTAGAAGAATCATTACTGTATTGGTTCAAAATTAGATATTAGATGTCATATTTACTCCATAGTAAATGATTGTTTTATCATATCCTTAATTTTATATTTAATAATAATAATAATTTCTAGGAGAATGAATGAAGTTTTTTCTACGAATAATGAAAAAGATTCCTCGGTCTTCTCTATTTACTTGAATTTATCTCGCCGGTATTCTTATATTTCTGACTTGATAATAATAAGTATAAAAGAGTCAGCATTAACAAAGCTATTATTATGTAAAAGCATCGATTATAAAGAAGTTTTGGGTATATACATGCAATAAAGCATTCATGATACCCGAAAAATGCATTTATTAGAATTAAAAAGTATGTATTAGATGATCTCATAAAAATTTGATCACGTGACTCTTCGGGAAAAGTATATAAGTAGTGCCTTTATTCCGAAAAGATCAAATTGGCACCTAAAATGTAAGTGTCCTTTGTTTTTTTACACCATATAATATTACTATTGATCTAAAGGTCCATCATAGCAAAGATTGGTTGGTATAAGAACTATTAGCATCAGGAAATTTATTAGGTGATCTCCAAAGTTCTCTGTTATCTGTAACTAAAATTTGGCAGCGATTCGAGCGACCGTTAATAGGTAAAGATTATGAGGCGTATACTTGACCGAGTGTTATGTTGTTTTCTCTATTGATTTTCACTTCTTTTATGCATTTCTTTATTTACATTGACCAGGACGGCCATGTCTCTAAAGAATAGACGAAAGATAATGCGTGACTAAAGCTACATTGCATAATTCCTTTTCACAATCACTCACTTCCTTCAATTATATGATAATGCACGTGACCAATGAAAGGAAGCTTTTTTTAATCACAATAATTATTAATTTGGTGTAATAATAATTCTAATTAATTAATTGTTACAATGAAAAACTCCGGAGAACTCCGCACCATAAATTTCCTGATATAATTAAGTTGCATCTATAAACAACAATAGGTTCTTAAAAATATGTGTGATGGTTGCATTTTTGGAACGTCAAAAAAATATTATTTATTTAATCATTCCCACTACAAATTTATAAAAGGTTTCTTCAACTAGTGGTTGATAAAAAAAAATCTTCTCCTCGAGCCTACAATAATAATATATTTTTTTGGTATCACGAAAACGTACTCACAATTTCTTTTATTTCAGGTCAGATGTAAGCACGCAAAATTATGAGATAATACTTAACAGATATGGAATCTGTTTCGAGTGCGACAGGTTTCGTACAACATCAGGATGGTGTCAGAAATGCCAGATTGATGAGTTGAAAAGTAAATTCTCAAATTGGACAAGTGGAAATAAAGACCTCGATCATGCAATTCAGAATATTCAAATAAATGCAAAGGACTATTACGAATCTCTAGAGTGGATTCCGTATAATCAATTTGATGTTGTTGAGTACTCAGCACAAGGGGGGTTTAGCACAGTTTATTGTGGATATTGGATAGAGGGACCTAAGCGAATTTTGGACGAGGAAATAGACGACTATATAAGAAATGGGCCTACCAAAGTTGCCATAAAAAGAATAGAAGAATCCAAAAATCTTTCTAAGCAGTATTTAGATAAGGTACGTGATACCGACTCTCATATTTATATTTATCACGTGACTTACATCAAAAACATAATTTAGCTTCTCAAGTACCACAAGTGTATTCAAAACCGTTCGCTTGCCGATTATTATGGAATAACACGCGATCCAACAGGTAGTTATGCGTTTGTCATGAGATTTTATGAAAACGGAAATCTTTACCAATACCTTGATTATGCTATGGGAACCCTCTGTTGGAGAGACATCGTCGACATGCTTTGGGGAATATCTAGTGGGTTGGAACAAATTCATAAATACAATCTTTATCATGGAAACCTTCACTGCGGAAACTTGTTAGTTGAAAATGAAGCTGAGTCTATTGACACAAGAATTTCTGACGTAGGTCTTCATGGCCCGACCGAGGAGTCGACAACCACTATTTACGGAGTGTTGCCATACGTCGCACCGGAAGTATTAAGAGGTAAACCGTATACACAAGCTTCTGATATTTATAGCTTCGGAATTATTATGTGGACATTATCTGCCGGAATCAGGCCATTTTGTGATAGAGCTCACGACATGAAACTAGCACAAGACATTTGCAACGGTCTTCATCCAGAGGTGGTTGACGGGACGCCCGAAGTTTACATCAAACTGATGTCTAGTTGCTGGGACCATGATCCTATGAATCGACCAATCGCTTCCGAATTATCTAAAATTCTGGGTGATTGGGTCATAGCCATATGCGACGATCCAAATCCGTCACTGCTTTCCGAACAATTTGACGCAGCTGAGGAGAAAAAATTTGCAGATCTAGAAAGTAATTCATTCACTCGCCCGGAAATTCATCCGCAAGCAATATACACCAGTCAACCGTTGAACTTCAAATTATCGTTCGATGCGTAAGCGTAGGATACATCAATTCTAGTCAAAATCGTGCATGTTCTTATTTGCTCAGTACTTATCAGATTTTATGCATGTGTGTGTTCAAGCGCGCTTCGAACACTCAAACTGTTTCCGTTATTCTGAGTCACCCACCGAAAATCGTTTAAGGATTCAAGGGTATGGCATTTAAGAAATTGGCATTTGGCAAATCATGTGACACAATCGTTTAGATTCATTTTATGAAGTTTGACATTAAGCTAAAAAATTAGGTGCTGATCACAGTTCGATTAATTCACATGATAGTCTTTTTCGTAATATTTCTTCGTTTCACGCAGTTTAGAGATTTCTTTTAAAAAAAAAAAAAATCGTTTTCGTTATCTATATTAATTGGTTAGATCTGAAATAACTCGACATTAACGCTATCTAAGCTATTTACTATAAGTCATATTGCATATAATTTTTGCATGCAATATATTGTTAAGCAAAGTCATTAAAGCTCATTAATTAATTAATTAATTAATTTTTATTTTTATTTTTAAGGAATTAGGGAATTCATTTCATTTCCTATTTCTTGCGATATACTGAGTTTCAATTATGCCCGAAGTGTTCCGAGCATAAGTTATCCGTTTCATTGGTGTATTTCCAATATTTTGTCCATTTATTAATTTATTAACACCAATTGTATTGATCGCCTCAAACACAAAAAAGGAAAGTTGATGTGCAGCCGTTCCTTAACGCGATGTTTCTATTCTGCACCACACGGCACACGTGCCGATAAAATTTCATTGTTCTGGCATATAAGGTAAGTTAGAAATGACGAATCGGCAAACCTACTTTATGCACGTTTAATGGAGATGTGTCATGCGTAAATTCTAGTACATTGGTATTTGTAATAATGTTATTGGTTTGAAGTTTGAAATTCGTTTCTTTTTTGTGTAAATAATATATTTTGGATAATGCTGTGCAGTGATAATTCTCATCTTGTGTCTGGAAAAAATGTTCAAATCAAGTGCAAGCATCAAAATAATAAATTTTTCTATCTATTACATGATTGTGAAAGCATTGAATAAATTTTTTCTATCTAGAGTCATACGCGTTCTTCACGTTAACATCGATCACTTTGTTTCGGATGTTTGCAAAGAACGTGGATGATGTATTTTCTAAACGGGTGAAGGTAAAACATCTAATATTGTTTTCTGACTTGACACAGTTCGAAAACTAGATCTACTAAAAGGACTATCAGGCATGGTGATAGCAACGTTTAGTTCGTTTGTTAATTCTCTTTCAGGTTGTGAACGGGGAAAGAAAGCTATAGTCGAAAAATCGGTCACTTTCTGCTGTTCAAGTCCTTGTGATGGATATCGTAAAACCGTATTGAAGGCTTCTAATTGATATGTATTCGGGTTGGATTCAGGGTAGCCGGTTTTCATGGTCTGTCGGTATCTTGAATCATCGTCTGGTGGGGCGTAGTAGAAGGGAAGGAAAACGGCAGCAGTCTTTTTTGTTCCAAAGATCAGGAAGATAGTTATACCGCTATATTGTAAGAATAAAATTAGGTGTTTTGTTTTAGTAAAGCAATTTTTTCAAGGGATGAGATTATTTCAACTATTAACAATAGATTTTCAAAGCTTACATGAAAGAACTAGAAAAATCCGAGATAGACCATCCAGCAGACGTTGGCATATCACTTTGAAATTTCCTTATCAGCGATGGTAATAAAGATATTAATAGTGCAATAACATAGGAGTATCCACAAATCGCCAATCTTAATGATTGTCCGAGTTTTATTGCCGTTCGACGATTCTGTCTATTTGAAAAAAGTTTCCACCGGTCCCAAAGAATTATTCCCGAGTGAACTAAAGCGAGCAAAAGAGAAGCGGACTCATTAATATAACTTTACGTCGAAATTTCTAGCGCAGTGTGGTCGATCATCTCTCTCACCTGCAATTATTATGGAGAGTACGGTTAAAATGATCATTGGTATCAGGTAAATCAACCAAACTCCTTCGGAATCAACTTGTGCACAAAAAAATTTGGTGGTGGTGACGCCTGACTTATGGTGGTCATTCGACTCGATGACCCAGGAAACTACGCTTCGTAAAATTGCTAATCCCCAGATGAAGCCCGTAAGCCACCAGAAAGAAATTTGTTCAATTTGAATATTCAACTTTATTGTTGCAAACCATAGATACACAGATAATACGGCAGGATATATTTGTAAAGGATAAAAGAATAACTGAGAAATTTTTGATTGTATTATGCAAAGTAGCGGTGGATTTTCTGAAAGTGTGGTCAAATCATCGCCATATATTACTATAGTTAATAGGTAAGTTAGGCCTAGGCAGAAGGCGCAAAAACAAATTTGAAAGAGAGTCCATTTCGTGAAGTAAGGGTTAGACCTTAGAATTGTTATTATAAGGAAAGCCAGTAAGATCAAGCTTATTGATTGAAATAGTATATAAGTAATAAGTAGGGGTGAGTGAGAGGGCATAACTTACACGCCTTCTTCTATTTTCTAATTGCTCTTTCTATAAATTGTCGAAATTATGGAACGGAGAAGCCACAGTTGTGCATTTCCCTTTGGACAAAAAAAAAGAAGCAATACATGTAAAAAAAAAAAAAAAAGGAATGTTTATGAGAGAGAATAAGTTGTAATGAATAGGCTCAAGCCGGATTTATGTAAATATATCAGGAGTGTATCTGTCCGGAAATGGAAATCTGGAAAGTTTGGATTTGCGTACTTCCACAACAGTTTCTTTTGCGGCTCCTGTCTGTCAAACACTCTAACCCGTAAGTCCAGTTGAAAAAAAATAAAAGCTTTATAGGCCAGAGAATAATTTTAGGCACCCTAAGATCTAACTTTATATTCTTTGCGATGAGAACAAAAAATATGCAGTACCCCTTGATTTGGACATGTGGAGAGACACAAAGAGTATAAATACCGGATCGGTTAAAAAAAAAAAAACCTCTACTATTCAAGTAATTGATGAAGCGTCAATCTCGACAATCCGGACATCAGCGGATGCGGTAGTCGTACGGAATTAAGGTTTCGGCACTTACATTATTATCATTTCGATAATTTATTCACCAATAAATCATCTAATCGGATGGAGACATCTTTAAAAGTTAGCAGCATTTATTTATTTTACCGTATAACGAGTAATTTCATGCATGCAAATAAATCCATACATTTCACTAAGCATAATAATAATGTCACCTATTGGCCCAGGAAATAAAGGATCTGAGACGTTACAAACAATATGTATTTAAGCCGGCCGGACACAAAATGATTCCTATTTATCACGTGGAGTCACTATTGCATGTTGTTTTTTCCGAGCCATTTTTGGACAAAAAATCTAAAAAAAATATCTGCTCCGTAGCTCAATATGCGAATCAAATTTGCGTGTAATTTGTTTTAACCAATAAAACAGTAATCCTTTACGCATTTATTAACATTAATTAGAATTTTAATTATTAATTCGATCGACTACAGTAATCACTAATAGCTTATCCGAGTTTTCCTATACACGATTATATTATTTGTTTATTTATTTTGCTAAAATAGTTTCAAGCGTTTTTTCTATATCAGGAATTAAAAAAAACCAACAGTAACAAATAATAATAATAATAATAATAATAATAATAATAATAATAATAATAATAATAACTATTATTATTATTATTATTATGTATTTTAATCTGTTATCAAACTACTGTATTCGGTTTATATTATTATTTTAATTGGTATTTTAAATACAATTAAATTACATCGATCAATCCAATAAAAAGAGCATTTTAACACAAAACTTCAAGTATCGATTTTTTTTTTTTTTGCAAATGGTTGTGATAATTTATTTTTGCATGTTTGATTTAAAAGTATATAGATATTTATCTATTAGATTAGATTTTATTTATTAGATTAGATTCTTAGATTAATTTTTAATATAAGTGAATCGAAACCGTTTCTAATAGCAACAGAAATCTATGTAAAAGATAAAAAAGATAAATAAAATTTGCATCGATAATAAAGATACATTGTTTTCAAATTAATTCTAATTCAAGTAATCTTATGTCTTTTAACATTATACTGTATAATAACTTTGCGTTATTGGTAAAGAAAATCACTCTTTATACCTGATCTATATTTACTTATACAAATTCTAAAAAATAAGTTGTGTTTGTGATAAGATGGTGTGTTTTTGGAATTTAAAAAAGTATGTTCCTATAACTTATACTTATAATACTGTACATATTAAATAAAGCATTTATACAGTAACCAATCTTAGATTATAGCGTAATGAAAGCTTATGCATAAGAAACATACTTTAAGGGGATATATACTGTACGTCTTCTAATTCTCGTCATCTACCGGAAAAAAATCGATCAAATAATTTGGAGGAAAAAAAAAATGAATTTAATGATGATATAGATATTAATACTGTATATTCACAAGTCATAAATGTTATAAACAAATATCAATTATACCTGAGTCAAATGAGTCGAACGAATTTTCCATTATAGTCACACTCGGATTTTTTGACGTAGATAAATTATGAGGATGCTTAGTACAGCATCTCTCCTGTCCTGTAAACATGGTACCCGTGATTATTGTGGCTTCGTTAAGTTGTTCATAAATGTATTTTACATTTGGTCGTTGATCCGGATTCTTAATCAAACACTGTTGATATATCTCTATATATTTGCAAGGAGTGAATAAAGCCGGTTCCTCTTTTTTACCGAGTAATACATCCTTTATGATATTACTATGGCTTAAACCCTTAAATGGTGGTGTCCCGCTTGAAACTTCCCACAACACCATTCCCAAGCTATAAACATCGGATTTTACAGTGAAATCTAGATAACTTTCATTATCCAAGATTATTGGATCTATGAATGCTGGTGCTCCTTTAACCTCTAAAGTCTCTGTAATTTCTTTTACTTTTATCGACATTCCAAAATCGATTATCTTTATCTTCAGTCTACCATCGGATATGGATAAAACGATATTTCTAGTATGCTGTATTAATGTAAGAAAAATAAATTTGTGGAGGTAATTAAATTCTGATATAATTAAATAGCATACAGTATATCCCTTACCAGATCCCTGTGCAAAATGTAATTATCATGTAAATAGTTTAAACCACATGCAACCTGTTTTCCAATATTGATCCGTTGCTTCCAGATAAGTCGGGGATTATTCGAGAGATATTCGCGTAAGCTACCTAAGTCCGCATATTCTAAGATAAACATATAGGATCCATCTGGTGCTAAAGAATAAATGATGATTAATTACTGTATTTCTTAAATAATGCTATAACCTAGAGTGACAGCTTGTTTAAGCGTAAAAACCTACAACGACTAAATGTGTATAATAAACATCAGTTAATATCCATTTCGATGACCTAATTCATAATCATGTAAACATTTTATTTTCATCGTACCTTATCCCATAAAATTTTATAATATTCTCGTGAATTTTTATTGAAGAAAAGATTTTGAGCTAGAAATTCATGCATTAGTTAGCCACGTGATTTAGAATAATGAAAGTGTATGACACGTTATAACACTTTACCTCTCTTACAACTTCAATTAGATCTGATTCATCAACAACTTTTAAAACGACAGGTATTTTATTACCGTCATTTTCTAATATTGTTTTCTGAACTCTCGATGTACCACCAAATGTCACGTGATTGGGATCAATCTTTAACAATAAGATTTGATTAGTATATTAAGGCAACCTTCTTTTAATTTAATCAAATATTTACCAGAGAGATTTTAAATTTTAAAAAATAAAGACCTGACATTAAAGCACAAATTTTATAAAGGAAGAAAATGTTCCTGTATATATGCTTTCCCATTGTCCAAATTCTTAGCGATTAAATCTGAATATATAATAGAGAATATTTTGAAAAATGACAACACACCGTAAACCACTGAGTACAATCCCCCCTAAAATGCTAACCTACTAACCCTTTTAATTGTCCGAAGCGTAGTGCATGCTTTGAAAATTTCGGTCATGTGGCGATTTTCTGTTTGCTCTGTCACATGATCAATTCTTTGCTTTTAAGTGTTTATTGCCTTTTATGATACCACCCTCTTTTTATGAAATACTTAATCGATAGTATTGATCGACGCCGGTTGTCATTCGACGGCGCATTTACCAAAACAACATTATTATAATAATGCTTATATAATAAATAAATTTCGCTTGGTTTAACAATGTAAGCATAAAGGTTCTATTTTTCGATTTTTTCCTATTCTTTGATGTTGTTGAATCCAGGGTATTTTTGTTATTTGTTTAGTGAAGTATCATAATCCAGGGTTTTTTTGTTATTTGTTTAGTTAAGTACCATAATCAAACGGGTTTAATTATAACAACGTTAACTTTTATAGGATGTTGGTTGAATCCAGGATATTTGTTTCATATAAAACAATATGTGATAAGATTATATTCTTTAGTTTGGATTGCAGTTTGCAAGTTGGAAAGACCAAGCTCCGTATTCACGAACACGTTTTTACGCGGGCCTATTACAGGAGGTCATATGAAATCATTGAAGACGATTAGGGTCACGAGACTCTTTCCTCATCGGAGAAATGTCCAAATAGGGATAAAGATGACGATATTTATTATTGATGCTTAAACAGGCTCTTTCTATTTTCGTGATCTTCGTTATGCCGCCTAAAGCATCCGATAAATCTAATAAAAAACCTCCGTTTCAACAACTGCCAAGGCTTTTAACTTCAACTACATCAATTTTTTTTATAATTCAAATTATATATTTATGATAGTAAATATTATGTTTACTTTAAAAAGACAAACGCAAACAAACCTGCGAAAAGAAAATACCATCGAAGACTTCAAACTCTTGTTAAAGACAAATTATAGACAATGGATCATTAGCATAAAAATTCAACAGAGACAACATGAAAAACAAAAAAAAATTTTTAAACAATTTCTTTAAAAATTAAAAATATTTACAACATAGTTTGCCAAACACTTTCTTTCTTTATTAATGTCATCTATTATTTTTTTTTTCTTTGTAACCGTTTCATTTTCTATATTATTCTTTCTATATTATTCTGTTTTTTATATTCTATTTTGCTATTTATATTCAATGTCGAAAAAAAAATAACCATGTGTAAAATGCAATGTGCATTACCTTCCTAAATATTTATTTATTTCATATCGGTATATCGGTGCAATAAATTTTATTTGATAAGATTCTTCAACTTTTTCTAAAAACTTTTAATCGATCCCAATTTAGAAATATTTTTTAAAATATATGTACATATTAAATTGGCAATAATTACAGAGCAAATCCTAAAGTTTCGGAATTAATTTTTTAATCCAATTTTATTAAAACCAATTATTGGATTATTGGATTATAAAAATTTTTACGAAAATTTTATTGACAACCAATCGTTTAAGGTGGCTTTAAAACATTTCTTGGAAAATTTCAATAAACCATTTTTCAAAATTTTTACATGTATTTTAATATAAAATAATAATAAATAAATTTTAATTTTTAATAACAAAAAAAATAATAGTTTGAATACCATTTGATTTTATTACGCCATAATAAATTGTTTGTTTAATTAAAAGATTATTATTAAGCAAGTCTCAAATCTAATCACTATATTATTTAAATCTAATATTTACTTATAATACCAATAGATATAATAACTAATACTATAATAATAAAGTTGCACTTTGTATTATCTTGCTTATAAAACAATTGATATTTAATCAAGTTAAACAGTTTAAGCTTATAATTTATTTAAGGTAATAGCAGAATAATAATAATAGCAAATATCAATACTGATATAAATTATTTTTGTAAATTATATTTAGTAGAGAGGACTTATTATAGTATTATTTTTTTTTACTTTAATTTTTTAATTTTTATTATACTTTTTCTAATAGAAAGATTCGTTTTTTTATTTATAGATAGATATTTTCTTTTATTTTTTTTTAATGTATTATTACTATTGTATATTTTAAATATCTTATAAAATTTGTAAAAATTTAATCTATAGTTAATGGAAATTATAACTTGAGAAATATTTTGCATTAAAAAAAAAAAATCAAATTCAAAGTTTTTAACTTTCAAAACATATTATTAATATGATTGATTATAATATTTTATGTTTAAAAAGTTATAAACAAAGTTATTGCTTATTATTAATAAAAAAAACTTTATTAAATTAGAAAAAAATCAGATAATTCTTTATTAAAAAACAATCCAATTGTATTTTATCTGAATTATAAAACTCAAATATACTAGATTATAGTTTTACAACTGTATAAACTAAAAATATGATATAAAAAGATAATTTATTAAATATTAACACAAAGTTCTATATATATCAATCATAGTATTAATAATAAAAAATAATAAATATAAACAAAAAAAAAACTTTTTCTACAAAAAATCCAGATTTTTAAAAATTATATTTTTTGATAATTTTAAGAATATATATAAATAAATATTATTTTTAATCTTAAAAAACCCAAAGAATTCAAAACAAATACAATCATTATATTATACTTGTTAAACTTCTTTTGTTACTAATATTTCTTTACTTGTTTATTTCTTTTTAAATAGAACAAAATTTATTGTAAAAAAAAAAAAGCAAATAATTTACAGTAAGCTTAAAGAAAAAGTTAATATCAACTTTTTTAACTTCTAGTCAGTTATATATAAGTTTTTGTATCTCTTTAGTATTACAGAACTCTACAATTTCATACTATTAGTTATTACTTCTTTAATTCATAATAAAATAAGTTTTTTTTTAATTTTTAAAACATATTTTCAACTTGATTGTTCTCTTACTTTAATATCTTTACCAACTAGCCTAAAACTCTTTCAATATTAATTCACTTAAGCAACTTTCAATTTTCTTTTATAGTTATAAATATTACTTTAATATACTAAACACAAGATAAAATTTTATTTATTAAATATTACTTTATTGTTTATTACTTAAATATTATTAACTTCAAATTAAATTTCAACTTTATCTATATGTTACTGAATTATACATATATTTATACTGTATATATGCCTGTTATTTATATATTTATATTTGTTTACTATTTTACACTACTTTGAAAATTTCTGTTATTAAATTTTTCTATATTAATTTTTTCACATTAATTTTCTGCAATTTACAATAACAAGATAATATAATATAATATTGCATTATATGCTTGTATTAATTTTATATATAATATTAGTTGATTAGATCTTATTCAATAAATTAAACAATCTTAATATCAAACAAAAAACAAAAAAACACTAAACTTTTTTCAAAAAAATCTAAATCAAAAGATTTAAACAATAAATAAACAATAAACTTAACCATATTAATTATCTAAAAGTTATATAAAAATTTTTTTTCTGATTTGAAAAAAATCAAATACAACTTACTTTCATCAAATAATCAATATTATAGATTAAAACTATAAACATATTAACAATATAAATACAATAATACTTTGATAATATAAATATATCAATAGTATAAATATGTTAATATTTCATTAATAGTATAAACATGTCAATAACATATTAACAATTTCTCTTAAAT